AAAAAGAATCTACAATGGATTAGTACAGCATCTCAATATATTATTTATCCTGAGAAACCTTATCAGGTGATATCTGCAGAAAGCATGACAGAAAACTATAGATACCTGGGAGCAGATTGGAGCTATCTGTCAGCAGGATGCCCTCTGTCCCACTGTGCAGCTTGGGGGAAGGCACAGGCTGATTAATCCACAGCCTGGATGATCACCTTGCAGACATTCCCCTCTGAATCTATTGCTGCACCACAGCAGGCTTCTAGGAATTGTTCAAGTACAGGCCATTGCTCCAGTACTTGAGCAGTAAGAAACTGAATATTTAAAAAAAAAATTGAATTAAATTAAAACAAGACAGAAGTAAGTTGGTGTTTTGGCTTTTATTTCTAGAATGAACTGTACTCTTGCCTGAAAGTATTTGGTAGGCTAAAAACTTTGATTGTATCACTTGAAGGGCTTCATGGTGAGAGAACTGCTACGTTGCTGAATCCAAATGAGAAAAATACATCCTCCATCACAAACAATATCCCAATCTTATTATTAGGTAGGGTTATTTTTGCTGTTTTGTTTTATCAATCTGCTGTTATTCATACCTCCAATATTAATATTTGCCCTTGTGGTAGCCAAAATAGGTAACAGTACTTTGATTTTTGCTGATAAAATAATTCTACATAGCAAATGCCAAGAATTAAAGCAAATAAATATTTTTGACAATTCTGAATTTTCCTTTCAGAGTTGTAACTTCTAGATAGCAATTTCACTCTCTGAAAAAAATCAAATAACGTTCTGTATTTGGCTGCAACTTTTGTGTAAGGGCAAGCAACAACTGCAGTATTTTTTTAAACGAGCCACAGTGATAGCTTTGCACTTCCTTGAGGCCTCTTCTCTTCTCACTGAATGAACTCCAGGGAATGGCATCATGTTGGGCTTTCCAGATGGATTATGTGAAGCCATAACTCAATGTCATTTTCAATAGCAAGGCTCATAATTAAAGGTCAAATAGTCACTTCATCTGCAATCAATCAATAGAAGAAGTACTAATACTAAGTACTAATCAATCAATGGCAAATGCACTAATAAAAGCCATGCATCAAATGTCTGCATATGTGTGTGCTCACATGTACCATGCATATATGTGAGCAGGGGGAAAGAGAGAAAGGGAACAATGTGGGGGTGAAAAAGCCAGAGGCCATTGTGGATACTATATTTATCTTGGCTTGCTTGCAAGTTTACATCCTGCTTCACTCTTTAGGTGAAATGCAAATAAACATTGGTTTTTCCGCATGTGTGATGCCCTTTATTCACAACCCTGCTGAAGCACCCACCGCTATGCAGAGGTACTGGCTCGTGCTCCCAGCTAAGGAACACAAAGGCACCTACCCTGTGTAATTTGTCCTTACACAAACACACCCTGCACTGTGATCTTTGAGACAAAAAGTGTGTCAACTGTTCTGTCTACAAAATAAGACCCAGCATATGGGAGCAGCACTCATCTCCGTGCAGAGCAAGCACTTATTCATGGATGCAACAGTGAAGTGGCAGTTGGCCTCATGAGCATGCACTGCATGGGAATTACTTGGTTTCATAATATGGTGTGGGAGAAAGTGACTTACAAAAGTCTTCTCATGCCTCTCCTATTACCACTTCTAAAGCTTTAAAGCTGTCAGCTCTTCTCCCACTTTAGCTGCACCATTCTCAGCTCCCCAGGGAATGGGCCAGACATACCTATTTGGAGTTTCACCTGCCAAGCTGAGAGAAATCAGTTTCAAAGTGAAAGTACAAGTGTTGGGGGTCATTTATACACTACCACTGGAATCTTGAAGACAAACAAAGCAGAGCTCCACAACAGATGTGAAATGAGAGCGTGAGCTGTATTTGTGCTTTCAGGCATTGCAGTGACAGAGGGAGAAGGAAAAGCGTTCTCTACCAAAAGCTCTCTCAGATCTCTCGTTGCATGGTTTGTAATAGACACCTAAGGACAAGCAGAAATGTGCCAGAACAGCAAAAGAGCACAGGCCAAAATGCCTGTGTTTGTCTTGTTTCTGCTAAGACCAGGGTGGACAGGGAAAGATTTAAAAGTGCCATTTAGATACAGCTAATCCTTAAAAACAAATTAGACCTACTCTGCTCCCACCTCCAGTGAAGGAAAAAATGCTGTCTGCTCTGGTTAACATATCTGTTTGCATCATCAGCTCAGGCACATACCCCATCACACCCTGGCTTTGTAAAACCCAATACTCCTTATTTTCACACAGATTTGTTTTCACACAGCTCTATGTTATCTGGAGCTGGTACAAACACCAAACAGAATAAAATATCAATGGTCTCAAACTCAGCCAGCTGGAGTCTGATACACAGCAGGCACACCTGGACACCCATGGAGCAGGGGTGCACACAAGACCAGCAGGTACTTCAGGCTTACCAAGGACAGGCTCCCAGGGGATTGCCAAAAGGAACATTTCCCCATTCCTCTCCCAGGATGACTGGAAAGCAGTCTGCCCCAAAGCTGACAAACAGAACAGTACACAGCTGAGAAACAGCCCCACAGTACCATGTTCCACTGTCCACCTGTTCACTTCAACCTGCACACTTAGACATGGGATATCTGGGCTAGGGGAAAAAGGAATTTATGGATGGGGAGAAGCTGCAGGAGTCCTTGAAGTCAAGATGGCCAAAGTATTTTTGCCAGTGTAGTAAGGCAAAGAAAGCTGCAGAATGCAAAAGCTGGCTCATGAGGCTATGCCAATATAAGCAGTAACTTGGAATTGGGAAAGTGTGAGCCAAAAGGTCAAGGGAGCTAGGAACCTCAAACTAAGTTTTTCTAAAAAAGAAAATAACATAAAAAATTGAGAGGGTAGTAGCAGAAGAAAAGTGAACTGATTCAGCTGTGTGCACAGTGAGGTCAAGACAGGCTGCATAAAGATGCTTGGTGCAGTGAGTTAAAGAAATGAACAGTCCTCATTTTTTGGGGGGTGATGGCAAGCACCTTTAGGACTTAAATATTTAAAAAGGCTTTGTGTTTATCTTCTTAGTGTCACAGCAAGCTGACAGAAATATGCAACAGAGCATATATAAAACTATTCTCTCTGGGGAGAGAAGGGGAAACTTGCATATTTGTGCTGTTAAATACAACCAGTTTCTTCAGCTTTTCTTCTGTAGTATTACAGTTGTGCCCTAAGTTCATACACAGCTCCAAACAGAAAACACAGCAGTGTGTTATGACTTATGTGTGCAGTTGCTTTCTACAAATACAAGACTAACTGTCCTGAATACAAGCTCATTTATTAGTCCAAGCTCAGTTTCATAGCACATTTGGCTGGAAAAGACCAATGTCATTTAATCTATGTTCTGCTCCAAGGCAGAATCAACTTCAGCTATTTAATTCCCATCTGAGGCTTGTCTACAATGATAGGAGATTGAAGACATCAATAGGCAACATATTCCAAAGCTGAACTGCCTTACACTAGACAGGTTTCCCTGATTGTTAGCTTAAATCATCATCACTGTAACAAAGTCCTTCCTTTTACAAAGTCCACTGTGACAGAGTTGCTTTCTTCCTTCTTTGCATCAACCTTTTATGCATTTGAAGATCACTGCAGTATTTCTGTTATCTTCCCTCAACAATCCCAACTGCCTCAATCTACCTCTGGGGTCACATTTTTGAGGTCTGTGATCATTCATGGCACTCTCTTCTCATGTCTTTTCAGTTAGTCCACATAATTTTTGAATTGTGGAGGCCAAAACATTGTGCAAATATCAAAAGCCATAACACTCTCAAGCCACACAACTTTTGCTGCTTCCCTGCAACCCACAGGACCCTGTGTGAAAGGAAGGGAGGTTAGTTTAGTATGCCATGTATTTGACAAAGCTATGGCATTGTTGCTCATTTCCTTGTTCTTTCTACACTTTAAAAATAATTTATTTAATGACTTGGTTCAGTAGTTTTCTACAAAATGAAGTTAAAACTCACTGATCTATAATTCCTCTTCCCCTCCCTCATTTCCACTGTAAAAAGAGACATTTTGTTTGACTTTTCCTTGTCTTCCAGGAGCTCCTCCAATTCCCACAGACTTTCAAAGGCACTTGCTAACAGTTCTGCAGCACAGGCCTGGCTGAGGCAAAGAACCCTGAGGTGAGTTTTGCTCTATCAAACCAACCTGGGAAACTTCTAAATCCCAACTTGGTCTTCCCCTGTTTCAGGCTGAGCTCTTACCTTTGTCATTGACACTAAATGTGTTCCTCTTTCACAGATACACTCTTGAAAAGAGTCAGATATTCAGTCATACATGCTTTACCAAACATCTGGTTTTATAATTTGAAAACAATCTAGTAGTGTCCCTGACTGAACATAATGGATGAAACAGCAGCAAGTGGCTGTAAGCATTTCTGATTTAACAGTATTTTCTGAATATCCATCAGAATATTCTGTTATCACTATGGGGTCATAAGTGACAAATATCTCTACGATGTTTTGATAAATGAATGCTAAGAAATAAAGCTATCCAAAGTATCTGCAGACTTCAACACACACATTTTGCTCATGTTAAGCAAAAGAGTATTGTCTCTTTGTGATTTCTGACTATACAATGTCCTTTGATTTTCCCTTGTACATCCCAGCTTTTAGATGTAAGATTTTACTGCCAAACTGGGCAGGTACACCTAGCCATCTCTTCAGAAACAAACCTGAAATTTTAGCAGCATTGGATTAGGCAACAGAACAGCATAAGAACAGAAAGAAAAATACAGCTTTCCACAAATCAGGTGGTCTTACTGTACAAGCACTAAAATCTCAGCTGAGCATATTGTGTTCTCTGCCCTGTAGGAAGCATTAATTTCATCTGTGCAAGAGCATTATTCTACTATTAGTATCGCACTGGTAGCAGCACTTGTCACACTAAACCCAAAACCATTTAAGCAGAAAAACCAGCAACTAAACCAATTTTTTTTTTCAACACAGCAAGGCATGAATGTTACTGTTGTTTTGCTCACAAGCTTATCTCCTGACTTACCCAGGGTGAGGGATTTGTGTGTGGAACAGAAAACGATAGCCACTGTGTCTGCTGGTGTGAAAGTAGAGTTATTCCTACAAAACAGAAGAGTTTTAATAACCTCTGATAGTAAAAACCTTCTTAAAACAGCATCTATCAAAATTATTACTTTGAGGATCCATATACACATTCCCATCACTTTGATCAGTCTGGTGACAGAAATAATTCCACCCATAAATGAACAGTAGTGCTTGATTTATTTTTTTTTTTTTAGCAGAATTGTATCTCTGTTGTGGCAAGCTCTCTAATGAATACACTCCCACGTGAAGGATAGAAATTTTGAAGACATGGTGTGTAGGACGCAACTTTATTCCAGCCAAGTTTATTTTGTCAAACATGCAAAAATGTCACAGCAGAAGCCCCTTGCCTCCACAAAATAAGAGAAAATGACCTATTATTTCTTCTTCTAGTATGGAACAGTAACAAAATGCTCCGCTTGGACAGTATATTGAGTCCACACTAAGGAGTTAGCTTCCACTTCAGAGATAAACTACATCTAAGGATTTAAACACTGGGACTAAGGCCAGGAGGGGTGGGAAAATGACATCTATATAGAGAGAGAGAGATGACTGGCCAATGGATCACCCTTTGCTCCAAAATAGGAGTAATTCTATGAGATTCTAAACATTTACCATACTGAGCTGGTTACTGCTTAAGGTATTTTAGATTTCACAGTTGGGGCATATCTTCCCCCCAGGTTAGGTCTAGCAGTTCAGAAGTTATTTTAAAATGCCTTTTAAGGCTAGGATATGATCTTGTCACAGAGAAATTTTCTTATAGCACTAAAAGAAGCCTAAGTAGCTCTAAGACACTGTACCCTTCTTTGTGATTCTCCCTTATGGATATTGTTTAATTTATACAAAGCATATGCTTGGAGTCTGCTGTATTGTGTCACTCTCCTTTCAGCAGAGTGCTGCTAAACAAATATTCCAATAAGCCCAAGTGAGAGGACAAATGTGGCTACTCCAGCCAGCACCAGTGATGCCTTGAGCCACTGGCAACACCATGCTTACAGTACCAGTTTTTGAGAAGTGAATGTACAATTGCCCTTACTGGTTGAGACTTTAAAAAAGTAAAAAAAAAAAAAAGCTCTACCAAACATTAGTTCAGGACTGCTGTCTTTTAAGAATCACCATATAAATGTAGCAAATTTGACATATATAGAGAGGAGTGAATTGCCAGCACAGCAAATGTATCTTGAGATGTAAAAAGTCAAACTGAGTTCTCTCTCTCATATGTCATCAGCATGTCTGCAGGGCAAATTATACCTTCAGTGACATCTGTGCTAATCCATTTTTTTCAGTGGATGAGGTACAGCAGTGATTGATTGAGATTTAACAACTCTGTAATTAACACACAAGAAAGGACAGAATTCAGGTCCTGCTCTCTTAGCCTATGAAACTCTAACAGAGCAAATGCAGTAAGAACAATAGGAAATACCAAAATGAGGTCACCTCTATTCAGAAACCTGCCTTTGCACATTTGCATAAACTTTGTCACACAAACCAAAGATATCACGCAAAAGAAATATTCAAAGGTTGGGATTCAGCACATTCATTTACCTTGTGGAGAAGAGGAAAGTCAAAAACATGAAGCTCATCTGAATAGAAAATACTGAAAGAGAAACAAGCTAAAATTAGATCACAATTATAATTACTGTGTCCATGCCTTTTGTTCCCATACTGCAGGGCAGAAATGAGGCTGGATCAAGTCTATCCAGAGAAACCCATTGCCAGACAAGCTTTAAAGACTGCCTGGAAGAACAACACAGATCATACATCCTGGCAAGCCAGAATTAATGTTATGGCTGCACAAGTTCTTCCTGGGGTAGATCCTCTGAATCAAGAACTTCTTGACACGATGAGTGGCAGGAAATAGTGCATATGCTGCATCTGTCAGACATGCTCTGGGTGCTGGGCACTTAGACTTGCTATTTTAAAGGAGAAAGTGTGTAAGGATGATCCAAATAAATATTCCCAGCCCTGGGTATATTAATTATGATCATTCATGGGGAGAGGAAGAGATCATCATAGATGTTTGAATTCTCTCTGAGACAAAGGCTGATTCCTGGGCTGGGCAGTGTGTGTCAGACCTTTCCTGCAAGCTCAGCCAGCTCTGTAAGTACAGGTGGTTGTGAGCATCCCATGGGGAGACCTTCTCTCTGCCAGGTCTGCTGACACCCTCAGGGACTCTGGGGGGCACAGGGCCCACCCTGGGACTGCAGAGGTACAAGGAACAGCCAGTGGCTTCCATGAGTAGCATCAGCCCAGAGCATGGAAAATCCCCACAAGGCTGAAGGAGAGACCCTGTGACCTGCACAGGCCTTTCCTGAGTTTGTGGGTTTTGGGGAAAAGGCTTTTCCTTGCAGCAGAATCTGGGGTGGCTCCTCTCCCTACTCCTTGCAAAATGTGTGGATGCAGTAAGGCTGACATGCCCCACAGGGCAGTGCAAGTCAAAACAATGCATTTGATTTTCACCCCAGTTTACAACTGGGAAACATGGCAGGGATATTAGCTATAACCAGTGACATTTTCTATTCTCCTACATACATTTCCTAGAATGTATAAATGTCACCTCAGCATGCACTTAATTCCTCCTTCATGAACTAAAGGAGCAATCCATTGCTCCTGAATTATAATTTTTCTCCGATGAAGTACATTAATTTAATATTCACCGAAAAAAACAGTCCCTTATTACACATAATTCTGTAAAGCAATAAGCATGTGTTGCTACCAATTATTCCTCGTGAATATTTTGCTGTGGCTAGAATATTAGCATAAAAATTACATAGAAACATTAATCAGCAGAATAACAAACTCAGTTTTACCTCAAACTCCTCGTGCTAATTTCACTTCCTGGTGTAAAACAATACACACATCCAGCTGACACATCCAATGGTGATAATAAACTTCTAGAATACAATGTGCACACCCATCTCCAAAACTTCCTTGGTTTTTGGTTTTGTAAATATTCCAGAAAAAATCCCCCTACCAATTGTCTAATTTATTCCAAATAGTTCCAATGCTTATGTTAATTTTCTTACCAAGAAATTCCAGTTTGCACACTGGCAATGAACATGTAGATATGACTTTCAGTGTATTCCACAGCAAATTGTACATTTCATTCCACATGGAACACATACAGAGTTGCCTTGAAGAGAAATGAAGGCCAAGCAAGACAGCAGAAGCAAACAACTACAAATCAACTGTTCTAGGAAGAACATGTCTTGAAATAAAAAAGAAAGGGGTTTTTTTTCTGAGTTTCTCTGCATGTTAAGTTTGAGTTGAAAATCTCTGTACCATTTTTTTTTTTGCTGACAATTTTGCACTGATTTCAGTCCAAGGTCCTTCTTGGTTGCCAGTGCAAAGAAGTATTTGTTCCATTTCGAAAAAAGCTCCATAGCATTGCTTCCTAATCCTTTGCTTTCAGAATAAAACATTATATTGTACCACTTATAGTCCCATGAATTATTTTATGTAGGTATAGTGTTTAGTATAGTTTCATAATCCATATGTACAGTTTCATAATCCCAAAAAAAAGGCACAATTAAGACAGAATTAAGATCTGATGCACAAAGGGCAGGGGCAAATTTCCTACTGGTTTTAGCTGAGGTCAGATTTGTAGAAGATACATTATTTTTATTAGACAGAAGCATATGCAGACACACAAAGTAGGTGATGGTCTGATCTCTTGAAATCCCACAGTTTTAGAGTATGAGATGTGATTTATACTGAAGCATACTGTAGTTACCTCTCCTCCATGCAAATTGAAACTCCTGTCTGTGGACAGTCTGAGGCAAATGGGAATTCCCTGCAGGGAGAGGAGACAGTGCCTGTACAGCATTGCCTTTCCCTGGGAGGGAGGGATCTGCCAGTGTGCTTCCAGCTGATGGCAAGGATACCAGCAGCCTATTCTCAGGTGGGTGTTATTTAAGGCTGAATGACTTGAGTGCTTCTAAAAGAAACTCAAAGAAATGTGCTCATCCACGGAAACAGATCAACACATTCTAACTCCCAACTAGTTTCTAGGTTTATAATATGCTAAGGAAGAGCAGTTTAAAAATTATAACAGTGCTTCTGAGTAACAGCTCAACCCCAAATCTTGTGTTGCTGTTTGGAATGTGACATCTGTGTATTTTATGGCAGCTCAATAGCAAAGAAGGCAAAACCAGAATGCCAACAAATGCTTGTAAAGTACTACTATGTACTTTCAGAAAGGAAGGGCCACAGAGCAACCTCAGGCCCACCTAAATAGCAGGGTTCACTCCTCTCTAAATGCTTACTTGGTCCCCTAAATGCATCCAGCTCCTAAGAAGTCTGGCAACCTGGTTTCCACATGCTTTAGAAGCTCTAACATCATGCCAGTACCCTCACAGCTCCCCCACTACATGTAGCTCATTGCAGACCTGAAACACACACACAAAAAAAGAGTCATTAGGGCTGAACTTACTTATGAACACGATTATAATCAAGCTAAATTTATCCAGGTCAATATTTGGATTGGCAAAGGTATCGCAGAACGTTGTGTAGATGATCATCAGGAGCACACAGCTGCTGATAGCACCAAATGGAGGCTTCTTCCTTTCAAGCCAGTCCTTGATGTATCTTCGGACAATCTGAAACACAGAAACCAACAGGTTGTCTCTTTTCAGAGATGCAGGGAGCCAAGTTGGGCATCACAAAGTGAATCTGACAGCGGAAAGACACAAAGAGAAGAGAGTAATTTGGATGACGGCCACAGTGGATTTCAAAGCTTCCCTGCCACACAACTCTTCTTCTGGGGAATTTAACATTTGTAGTGCAACTTCCACTGGGCGTCCATAATGAGAGTATATTTTCAAGTGCATTCAAATCCATCCTTAATCATGCCAAATGTTCTTTGCTAGCTGTCACTGAGACATGCCCATTAAGCCTCCCCAAAGTTTATCTCCTCTGCTGATACTAATGGATGTATGTAATTATCACAGTCCCCTTTGCATCAACAGACAATTCCAAGTGCAACTTTGGGAATCTTAAAAATCTGACATCTTCAGGAATTTCATGACGGTAGATAATCGAAAGTGATCCATGGAACATTTTAATATTTAAATAGCAAGCGATGCACCAGAAGTTTTTAATTAAATTATAACTCAAGCTTGAAAAGCAAAAGTGCATGTGTTGTGGGAGTTTAAATAATTCAAACTCTGAATATCTGGAGTTTTTGTAAATCCAAAGACAAATGCCATTTGCACGCTTTTAGAATATCAGAATTAACACATGAAAACAAGGAAACCTACTGTACTTAGCAGAACTTTTGCACTTTCAGGAAACAGAATATGAAGCAGTTTTTCAAGAATTTTTTAGAAACAACTATAAATTTTAAAGCAACCCCAACGTTAAAGTTATGCTGAATACCATAGCACTAAGTCCCACCAGATATAATGCATCTATTTTAGTCCTGCCTGGGGAGTCGCTTTTAGTTTTTCTGTTTACTTTATATGGTTTGAAAAAACTTTTTAAAGCTTTTATCCTACAGCTGCAACTTGTGTTAATTTTTCAGCAATCACATTATCTTGCCTAATTTCTCCTGAGGCCTCCTGATGTTCTCTGTTACCACACTCTTCTGGAAATCACAGCCCAGGATCCTGAAGCACTTCAGCCAGAGGGCTCCAAAGGTGTCTCGTGACCTTCCCTCAGTGGTGCAAACATCACCACCATTGGTTTAATGACACAGAAAACCTTAAAGGTATTCAAGATTAATAGCAGGCCATCATCACCAATGCTACCATAGGACCCTTTCACACAACAAATGCCAAAGCCATGGAATCAAGCTGCTCTCTCTCAGTTTTCCTCATTGCTTTCCTGGCTTGTTTGCAAGGCTCTCAGCAGGGAAGTGCTGGAGCAGCCATCCCAGTCACCACAGCAATGAGACTCCATCAGGGCACACACTAGAACTTTGGCACCTGGGCTTCATGCCAAGCTACGCAGGCTGAAGATCAGCACTCACCTCCCACACTTGTGGGCGTCCTGCTGCTGAAAAATAACAAATTTGCAGGAAAATATCTAAGGGAATTCTCAATGCCCCGGTGAAAACAGTGAAATTTAAAATGTCACACTTGCCAGATGTTAAAGAGAGAAAATAACAAAAAATATAAGGCCAGACTTCTGAAAGCCTCCACTGGAGCTCCTTCAGCCACTGGGCAGGAATAGGACACTGCACTGATGAAAGAGACACAAGAAAGTGAAGCCATGCAGAGAGCAATATGAAAGACATATAATGGGAAGTTTAGATGAGTCTAATTCTGAGCAAATTTGGGACTGTAATTATCAGAAGCAAAAAGTAAAGCCTTTCACTTCTAAAGTGAGCAAGTTTTTTTTAACAAAGTTTAAAAAAAATCCTATTATCCCTTAAATTGTCACACTGGGGAAAAAGAAAAACTACTTAAGGCCACCTATTAATTTATAGTCCTTCCAGAAGATTTATACAGAAAGTAACGAGATGTTGAAAAAGAAAAGTGATGGCTCATTATACCATGGTACAATTTCTAGTGGAAGTATTTAATCCAAAAACTGCAACCCTGTGCCTGTTCAGGGTCTGATTATACCAGACATGACAATAATATCATACACACATTTATCCTTGACTGTCATAGAAGAGAAATAAAAAACATTTAAAAAATTAAACTGCAAGTATTTCCTCAGAATCTTCAATTGAGTGATACCTTCTTTAAATACCCACCTCTATCTAGCCTGGAATTTTTGTGAATCAATAACCATAAATAGCAGTACAGTTCCTTACTGCACATTATCTTTTTTAAAAAATTATATAGTCAGACCCTGAAGAACTAAATTGTGGCTTCAGGAAATTATCTAATCAACCAAATGTCATGCAAAATGTGCACAAAACACAGACAAAATGTATCTTCTCTAACACAGAATCCCATACATTTTGATCTTCTTACAAGGTTCAACATGATCGGCAATTCCAGAGGTCAATTCAGCCTATAATCACTGATTCAAGGTAACCTAAATTCTTGTATAACTTGATGGAAGAAAATAACCCTACAGAAGCTCATGTCAGCTGATTCTCTTTGACTGAAAAACAATCCATTTGTTATTCATGCCTGGCAGAGTTGCTTCAGGACAAGGATGCTTTGAAAGCCTTTTAATTCTTAACCCAATTCTATAACTTTTCAGGGTAAACAGGGAACTACAAAAGACCAAATTTGTGAATATTTGTAGTGAAATAACAATAAGTGCCACAAATACAAGAAAAAAAAAACACATTCAGAGCCTGGGTTGAGGTACTAAAGCTTCATTTGTCTGAATTGCAGTGAAAGCTAACACAGTCATTTCTGAATGTTAATATAAACCACTGGTATCCAAAATACATGCATCCCACTGATGGAAAAGAGCAAAAAGGGGATGTATTGGGTTTTGTGGCAAGGTTTGGTAGTAGGGCAGGCAATAGGGGATGGTTTCTGGGAGAGGCTGCCAGAAGCTTCTCTCATGACTGATGGAGGCAGTGCCAGCCAGCTCCCAGATGGATCCAGCCCTGGCCAAGGCTGAGCTCAGCAGTGATGCTGCTAGTGATGCTCTGTAAGGGTTTTCATACAGATTCAAATGCCAGCCCCAAAGAGCAGGGAAAGGCTGACCCAGAGGTTGCACATGAAAGAACATGAAGGTGAATCCTTCCCTCAAACTGCAGTTTAGTGGAGAAAACAGCGGGAGAGAAGCAAAACTTTGGAGTAGGTGATATTTTATAAATAATCTGCCTGATAAACTCAGAAAAGTTAGAAAATAAAAGAACATGAATTTTTCCAGCAGGCAAGCACCTCCTGAAGACTACATTCTGGCAACCTCCAAAGGTTTTGGAAAGGCATCAGCTCAAATTTGCTTCAAAACACAGTTTCAGGCTCAAACTTTCCTCTTGCCCAGGATTTAATTTTTAACAACAAAGAAATGTAATTACACTTGAGTTAACAGTAGTGTCCCCATTTCAATTTAGTTCTCCTAGCAGAATAGTTCTATCCACAGTATTTTTCCTACAGACTGCTCTGTATCCTGCCATAACCTTCTTGTCTAAACACCAACCTTCCTAAGCAAACGAGCTCACTGCTCTAATGCTTATTTCATTTAATATCCTTGGGCAAAGAAACATGATCTGCTGTTCCAGGAAAGCAGGTAAACAGTGCTCATCTGTTATTAGACCACACATGAAAATGGCAGAAGGTGTGTTACAGAAAAACAGTTCACTTCTCTAATTGTACCTTCAGAATAGTCACAGAGTATACCCAGAGAAATCTGTCAGTAAAATTTTCTAGACACTTTCTACCTGTCTGCCCAAGTGCTGGACACACAAGGTAAAAAATTCAAAAAACAATGTAATACATTAATGTTCATTATTAATTGAGCTAAATAGAGCAAGGAGCTCCACTCCCACCTTATATGGAATGGAATAATTTCTGACATTAGTCATGCAGTACATCTCCTAAAAATTATCTAGATCTGTAACTTACTTGTTTATTAAACACAAGAACGGTAAAAAAAACCAAAAAAACCTCAAACAACCTAAACCCAAAAAAACCCCCAAGGAAATGGATAGGAAGTCACCTTTTCTGTTTCCATTATACACAGGAGTCTCTCTTGGTATTTACATCATTATCTAAAATAGATTTTTCCTAATTCTACCAACTATTTTGGACTGAACTCCTCTTTAACAGAATTTACAGTGGTTTTACTGCACTTCTGCTCTTTTTTATTGTCTATTGGTATGTTCTTCTAAATACATGGGTAAAACACGTGGGGCTTTACCACCTCAACAAAGAAACACAAGTCACCTTTTCCTTGTGTTCAAACACATGAGCAAACAAGCTGCAACTGCTGGATTACAACCACACCTAAATGCAGCAGTTACCTTACTTAATTTCTCTTCTAAGGTAAGATTCCGAACTCATTCTTAATTAATATTACTACTACTTATAGTAACAGACTAATGCAATGAAGGCTAAAATACAAAATTTCCCATTGAAAATCTTGGAGTCAGGGTAGATATTTTCAACAGTCCTGTAATTTTTCCATATCTTTTCTTATATAGTGATGGTAAACCAAGAAAGACAATTGCAGGCAATATTGGGAACTAGGTCAGTGAAGTCTGTAAGGCATGAAAGGTGAGAAAATTGGGGAGAAAAAGGAAAGGAAATCAACTAAGATGACAGCAGCAGTAAAAACCAGTGTAAGGAATCAATTCCTGGAATGGAAGAGAGATTAATTGGGTTGTATAAAAATCTAAATGAAATAAGATGCTAAGAGGGACATTGTTCAGATTTCTACAGAAAAACCAGTCTCCAAATATACAAGGTCTGCATGCCAGTTCAAATGCACAGACCCTTTTATAAAGCAAAACTTGCACCACCTCAGCCAGACCATGTCCTGATATTTTTACAGGAGTTTTACCTCTGTGGAGGCATAAATTCCCACCTTTTCCTGAATATTGCTGTAAAGTTTCAGATTTTGTGATGGTTCACCTGCTTTCCTAGGATATCATCAAATGTCAAATCTATCCTTATGCTACAGAGTGTACAATCTAATGGGTTTTTTTTCTGAAGACAGGCTGCAAAAAAATTTTTTTGCAATC